ATGGGGGACAGAGGGTCACAGAGGACCTTGAAGAGTATCAAGTTGCAATGCTGGGTGATCTGCGTTCCCACCCTGGCTCCACCACTGACTCCTGTGGACGTGGCACAACCTTGAACAATTTCTCTGTTCCTCAGGTTCTCCATCTGGAAAAGGGGGGCTCATTTTCTGTGTCAGGGTCCCTCTCACACATAAAATACTCGGAATGGCGCCTGCCAATTGGTCAGTAATCAAAGTCACAGCAGTCTTTATAAGCACCCTACCTGATCTCCTTCCACAGACGACCCCCCACCATCACCTGAGTCTTCATAAGCCCTCTGTGGCTAGAACAGCCAGAATCAGGGCCCACATGAGAGGTATATCACTTATCTACTGCCAACTGTGTAACAAATTACCCCCAAACTGAGACTTAGGTAAGCCAAACACTTCATTTCAGTTTCTATGGGTCAGAAGGAGCAGCCCAGCTCTGGCTCAATGCTAAGGTCACGGTGTCTGCCGAGGTCTCAGACGGCTCGAGCTGGACCAGAGGAGGAGCTGCCTCTAAGCTCACCCATGTGGTTACTGGCAGGCCTTCATTCCTTGCTGGCTACTGGTCAGAGCCCTCACCTGGTCACTGCCCGATGGGCCTACCCAAGGGGCAGCTTAAAACATGGAGGCTGCCTTCCATCAGCATGAACGAGAGAGGGAGCAAAACAGACACCAGAGTCTTTTGTCGTCTAATATTGGAACTGACACCCCATCACTGTTGACACAGCAGTGTCATTTTGTGCTTTTGTGTTCACAGCAGCATCATTTACAATAGCCAAGAGGTGGACCAACTCAAATGTTCGTCAACAGATGAATGGATAAATGTGGTACAGACGTACAGCGGAGTATTATTTGGCCTTAACTAAAAACGAAGGAAATTCTGACACAAACTGCCCCGTGGGTGAACCTTGAAGGCACTATGCTAAGTGAAAAATATGCCAGTCAGCAGAAGACAAATACCGTATGATTCCACTTACATGAGATACCCAGAGCAGTCAAATGCAGACAGACAGACAGACAGACAGTGGAATGGTGGTGCTCGGGGCTGAGCAGAAAATGAAGGGATGCGGAATTTTTTTTAATGGGTGGAGTGTTTCAGTTTTGCAAGATGGAACAGTTATGGGGACTGGTGTGTAACGACATGACTATACTTGAACACAACTGAACTATACACTCCAAGATGGTTAAGATGGCGAATTTTATGGTATGTGTATTTTGCCACAATGTTTTTAAAAAGCAAGTCGCAAAGTCTAGATCACATTCAAAGGATTAGGGTTCTACCAGGGTGTGAACCCCAGGAGGTGAGAATCAGTAAAGGCTACCTGCCATGCTCAGTCATTTATCCAAAATAGAAAAGAATCTAAATGTGTAATTAGGGCTGAACTCAACTTATTTGAGGCCACATGTGCATGGCAGCACCTGCTGACTTTGGATGCACCGCTCAGGAAGAATTCCTAAGCAACAGAAAAGTCCATGTGCAAGCCTGCTCCAACGCCACAGCTTTGGGAATTATCTGGTAAACAGGTTATGGTTCCAATCCATAAGGCCCCAATTAAAGTTCAATTCCACCGTGCTGTTCTCTGGTCTCTAATACATCCCATATGGAAATAGAAAGGTATGGCAATGACTACATGTTCACAGTCTCATCATGCTTCCAATTCCTGGCAGAGTTTGTCGTTGGTTTAACTGCCAAGGATCAGGCAGGGAACTTACCGGGATGAGCAGAGAAAGGGAGGAGAGGTGCACCAAAGCCGGTGTCTCTGGCGTGGAGACAGCACTTCTCCACACCCTCATCAAATTAGAGGGGAAGCACTTTAAGAACCGTACTTCCTGTCTTGGGGCCAGCTTTCTCCACTCTGTTCAGATAAACATCATAAAATATAATTTTCTTATCCCACATCAATGGAAAGCAAAGATGCATCTGTGAAGGACTAGAAGCCCAGCAGAAGCAGACAGGATATATTTTGGCTAAATGAGATCATGCACAGAAAGTGCATATTAGCACAGTATCCAGCGCATGGTAAGGCTTGACGATGTTCACTGTTACTAAGATGACAAGGGCTCATATCTTCTGTGGCCCCAGATGAGATCCTGTCCAGTCCAGATGCCTCTCAAACTCTTCAGGAGGATGTGGAGCCCGTTCTCTCGAAACCCCGGGGGCCGGGACCTCCCCCAGCCCTGGTACATGGGCATTCCACGGTTCCAGCACCAAAACCAGCAGTTTGCCTACAGGACACCGGACCAGAGGAAAGCACACCCTTCACGGCTAGAGCCACACTTGGAGCAGGGGGACGTCACACCATAAGAGGGACGCCAAACTGCGTCCCGGCCCAGGCGACAGCAGGCCCAGGGCCCATCACATGCTTCCCGTGGGGCCAGCTTTCCAGGGGGAAGGACAGCAGCATCTTCTCTATTATTTAATCAACAACAATCATCCTGAACGCGATTATTTTCATAGATGGTGGATTTGGAAACTCACAAAATTTAAAACCACCAATGATGTAATACTACCCAGGGCGCAAATTAAACACAGCTTAGTAACCTGACGCCCGTCAAAGACATCTTTTCTAGTCTCCAGTGCCTATTCAACCACCTGTGAGGGCGCTCTGCTGCCAGGCAGGATCTGTGGGGTTCGAGAGGCAAAGAAGGCGCGCTCCTGATGGCAGCAGGCCTCTCCGCAATGGGCACCCTCGCTCAGAGGCTGTCATACCAACGGCAGCGGACAGCTGTTCCCCAAGCCCGGGTGGGACGTGTTTTCAGAGAGCACGTGAGAACACCGCTTTCGGTCCAGGGGGTGCTGTCTGCGTGGGGAAGGGCACAAAGCGGAGACCTGAGGAAGGGGGCTCCAAGTCAGGCGTCCGCCAGCAGTGGGCTTTGGGGGCACTGGGCCACCACTACCCTTTCCTACACCTCACGTTTACATGAAGGTACAATATTACGGAGGAAAAGGAGTTGGGGCTGGAAACACTAACTGTAACCAGCCCGCAGAGGGACGGTTCCCAAGGGTAAGCAGAAATCTGCTTCAGCGAGGTGCTGGAAGAGGCCTGGGGGGGAGGGGATGGGACAGATGTAGCTACAACCAACAGGACAAATTCCCTGGCTTCCAAGTTTTAGACTTGGGGGTCCTTTTGCTGAATATCTCAGGGCACCACTAGTGCATGTAGTACACACGGGAGAAAATGATATAATAACACTCAACAAAAATTCTCCGCACTCTTTCCTATCTGTGTTAATATTTACTCGCCTTTGTGACTGCTGTTCCCCGCATCCAACACCTATCACTGCCGATGGCACATGCCATAGGAGGTATCCTGGCACCACTTTTGGTGAATAACAACTTGACTTTGTGTAAAGACCAGAAATACCTTGCTGTCCCATCAGAAGTTTAGAAATTCCTCATCCCATGGGACGATTAGAGACCTCTCTGAACTTAGTGTGACACAGTGGCTTCAGACCAGAGTGGGTACAGAAATCACCGGGAGGCTCTGAAAACACAGAGTGCACCCCGGTGGGTTCAGCTGCTCTGGGGGGCAGCCCGAGCTCTGCACTGCCGGGTTTCCCACGCGAAGCGGCTGCTTCTCGAGGACCGCACCCTGAGGCAAAGACCCAAGGGCAACTGGAGGCTGATTCTGCCTAAGACGCAGTTTTCTGGGCTGTTCTCTGCACAAATTCTGGCAAAGTCTGTGTTGATGCGCATTTTGTCTTTTCTTGTGCCTGAACCTTGGGCGTACAGAACTGGGCCGAACATAATACTTGATTGGTGACCCACTCTCACCGGTGGTCTGTGAATTACCTATTTATTCATTCATGTATTCATTTTCAATAACATAACCACCAACCGAAATAAAAGCTAGTTCCATGAAAAGAACCCACATCTAACTTCATGGAGCTTACCCCACGCCTCCGACAACCATCCTTCACTTGCTTTCCTTGTTACAGTGTTGTTACATCTGTAACCCGTGGCACATTTGTAGAATGGAATACTGGCAGCAGTCAAGAAAATGAAATCTACCAACAAACAACAACGTGGGTGAAACACAGAGATGTATTAAGTAAAGAAAGTAAAGACTGCATACAGATGATACCAGTTTATGAAAGAAACACATACTTTTTTAGGGTGTTTAAAAATGGACATATGTTCTTAAAACGTTACATTTCTCCCTCATCACTGAAGAAAATACTGTCTACAGTAAATCAGAAAAGCAAGGTACCAGGAGAGGATATTATCCTGCTGCATCTGTCTAGTTCCCTAAAAAGCTCATCCTTCCACCCCCAAACTGCATCCATCAGCTTCCAGAAAATAGCTCTGAGCCCGAGAGCCCTACTACAAGTAAGCAATTCACACAAGAGGAAACAAAATAGTAAACACACACATGAGGGGAAATGTTAACTTTGCTCATAATAAGAAAAAATGCAAATGAAAACATTTGGGGAGCTATTACTCTATGACTGCTAAATTAGCAAAAATAGAAAAAAACAGAACAGCAGTGAACACCTAGGGTATTACAGTGAAACTGACAAGGGCAGACAACGCTAGTCACCAGGTAAAGCAAAAAAAAAATCATTTCAGACAGCTGTGTGGCAAGGCGGAGCCATGAACCGTGCAGATGCTCCCCCCCGCCCGCCCCTGGTGGAACTTACCCCAAACAAGTAACTCAATGGAAAGAAGCAACCCCGATGGCCCCCAACAATGCAACCATCCAGAAAACCACAGCAGAGCACCATGCCAGGTTGCATCGCAATGAGGGCAAATTTCAGTTTTGAAGAGAAAATGCACATACGACGTTTAATACATGAGAAAAAAAAACTGGATGGTGCGTTACAGATAAAGCCGTGTGCCCAAGGACTGCAAGGTCAAGTGCAAACATTAATCAAGTGTTGTACCTGAAGCGGACACAGGTGTCGCCTTCTCCCTTCCCGTGTTACTGCACCGTGCGTGGTGCTGCGATTATTTTTAGCACTGGGGCATCTCCTACCTTGAGAACTTTCACAGCTTTCCTCGTCACTGTTGTCTTGGCAGTTATTTTGCCCGTCACAAATGAAGCTCTTGTCAATGCAGAGGCCGTTCTTACAGTGGTAGCGCGCCGTGGAGCAAAGCAGAGGGTTTGCTGCTGTGAAAGGAAAATAGATCGCGTCACCAGCAAGGCCACAAGTCGCTGTGAAAACTCTGGGGACCTTCCCCAGCCTGGAGCATGCCCTGCTTGGGAAGCAGCTCCCCTTCCAGGATGGCTGACTGGATCAGAGCCCATCCTGGGACACCAGCCAGCCAATGACCCAAACAGGACAAGGCTCACTCTGCCCAAGTCACCAAACTGGTGCCCCACCCAAGTGGTCAACCTCTAGGCAGGCCAGCAGTCCCTGAGCGGCCGGAGGCAAGCCTGAATGTCCTGGAGAGCTGCAAGTGGAATGTCTGGTGGCGTAAGAGACACAGAGAGAAAAGCAAATCCAGAAGGGGTAGCTGAGCCAGGGATCCAGGACCCTCAGCCACAGAGGCAGTGATATCATGATCCAGTCCAAGAGCCCTGCCAGATCCTTCTGGCTCCCCAGTGATGGACCAGCATCTTAATTCCTCATGTGTCTTTACAGATCACTCAGCTCTGTGGTCTCACTTCCCTGCAATCCAACAAGCCCACTAACCCACATGGTCAGCCTGTGTGGCTGCCCCATGAGGCTCCCTTTTCCAGACACTTTCAGGGACCTCACAAGAAAATCACAGGATCCCACCCTGAAAGGCAAGGGGGGGGGGCGCAACTGACCAGGATGGGGTCACTGCAAAACTATTTACCACCATGCAAGCAAATCTCCACGGCAAATCAGTATTTCTTCACCATGATTTGCCTCATTCCCGGTTCCCTGCGGTGCAATTCAAACAAGGCTCTCCAGAACTCTATTTTTAATAAGTGAAGTAGCAAAGAAGAAGTCACTGCAATCCCAGCTCTGCCAGTTATTCGCTGTGTAACTTGGGCAAAAGAAGTCACCTCTTGAGCCCTGGTTTCTTATCTGTGAACAGGACTGGCTACATAATTATCAGGGCCTGGTGCAAATTGGAAAATGTGGGGCCAACTGCTCAAGAATTATTTAAAAATTCAAGAAGGTAAGTGCAGGGTGTAAAAGTGAGCAGGACGCCCTTCTAAGGCAAGCCCGGACCCTGAACGACTGCTGGCCACAGGCCTGCGTGGCTGGCCCTGCGACTCGCGCAGCACCAACTGGTGTCCCCCTGAGACAACACAGGACAGAAGGCCCGGAGTCTGGCACCTGGTGCAGGCTCAGGGAACATTCCCCTCGTTATGTCTGAAGGAGCAATACTGGCCATGATGAAGAGGTGTCATCCCGGCTCTTGGGCGACAAACTGAGCCCACAGCTCAGTTACGCGTTGTGGGAAGAGCACCAGCGCGGGGCGCCAGGCCTGGCACGGCAGGGCACTGTGGAACCCGGGCAAGCCCCCGCTGGCGTCTCTCAGTGTCCTCAACTGCAAGATGCAGCTGCCATCTCTCCTTTGCACAGCTCGCTGGGCTGTTGTTGAGAGACACAGGGAACGTGGCTGCAAGGACTGTAAATTTCACAGGGATCCGCAAACTCGGACTGCAGAGTTATTTTTTAACTATTCAACTCAGACAGTCTGAACGGAAAGGTCAGAGGAGGGGGAGGGAGGAGGGAAGCCGGTGCTCGCAGTTTTGAAGATGAAGGATCAATGCAAAGCCAAACAAAAGTAGTCTGGCCTGGAAACGGGAGTATTTTTTTTTAAATATTTTATTTATTTTTTTAGAGAGAAGTGAAGAGAGAGAGAGAAAGAAGGGGAAAGGAACATCAATGTATGGCTGCCCCTGGCATGCCCCCTACTGGGGACCTGGCCCACAACCCAGGGACGTGCCCTGACTGGGAATCGAACAGGTGACCCTTTGCTTCACAGTCTGGAGCTCAAACCACTCAGTCACACCAGCTAGGGCTGGAAATGGGAGTTTTAATTATTTAAATCACTGTGAGCCAGAGAATGGTTTGACTTGATCAAGCTGAAACCAAAATCTGTTCAGCCAAAACTAAAACAGAAAAAACCCAAAACCACAAATCACATTCGGTTTCTGTCCAAGGCAGCCCTCCAAACTTTTCGTGTCCCACCACAGTGGCTTCTCTGGGACCTAGAGGGTCACCTCCACACAACCAAAGCAAGCGCCAGCGGCAATCAGCTTCTGGGACGATGCCGCCGGGGCAGGCTGTTTTGGATCAGCCCTGCTGACACTGTTGCCAAGTCTTTCCTTTTCTCCACCCTTAGACTCTCACAAAGGGAGACACTGGTGCCAACCTTCTCAAGGGAAAGAGGTCATTTATGCATGCATGTGTGTGCATATTTGCATTCATACATACTACATATATGTGTATATATACAGATCACATGTATCTTCAAGATGAACTAAGGCTGACTAGACCGTGAGGCACAACTCCGGTAAAGAATCCAGACTGACTAAAAACTAAGACACTGGCGGTCTGTAATGCATAACCAAAAAGACTAGTAGCCAGAATACATAAAGAACTCTCATCATTCACAAGGAAAAAGAGGACTCAATAGGAAGATGACCCAAGGATATTATTAGCAGATAATTCCCATAATGAAAAAAATGGTCAATAACAGCCCTGGCTGGTGTAGCTCAGTGGGTTGAGCGTGGGCCTGAGAACCAAAGGATCGAAGTTCGATTCCCAGTCAGGGCACATGCCTAGGTTGCAGGCCAGTTCCCAGCAGGGGACACATGAGAGGCAACCACACACTGATGTCTCTCTCCCTCTCTCCTTCCCTTCCCCTCTAAAGATAAATAAATAAAATCTTTTTAAAAATTAAAAAAAAGGAAAATGCTCCATAACAACTTGAAAAGATGTTGACCTATAACGAAGCACCACTTTTAACTGCACCCACTTGCCAAACGTGTCTTAAAATACCAGGCTGTTGGCAAGGAGGTGGAGGGAGAGGAAGTGGCACAGACCGCGGTGGGAGTGCAGACTGGCGGGTCCACCCCGGAGACCAGTTTGGTCCTGTTCGGTAAAGCTCCTGGTGCACATGTGCTCCGGCCCCATAATTTCCCTGCCGGCTCTGCCCTCTGGGGAGAATCGGGAACAAGCAGGAACGTTTACTGACACACTGTGACCTCAGAATTCTAAGGCAGGGCTCAGGTAACTTTTTTCTGTAAAAGGCCAGGCAGTAAATATTTTAGGCTTTGCTAACTATTCAGTCTTTGTCTCCGTCTTAACTGCTCAACTTTTCCATTGTAGTGCAGGCAACTGTAGAAAATTAGGACATGGAAGGGTTCCAATAAAACTTTATTTACAGAAACAGGTAGTAGGCTAAACTTGGCCCACGGGCCACTGTGTGCCAACCCCTGGTCAACAGCAGTGAAAAATAAATGAATCTGAGACAAGGTGAATACATTCTACCAATACAACAGCGAGGGAGAAAAGGAGGTTATGGGAGACTATCACGGCGTTGTGCCACTTGCTGGAAGTTACCTGAGCAAAAGGACGCTAGCCATTATTGGTGGACAGGAAAATCGACACTGAAAGAACAAAAACTCGCACTGGAGAAACACGGCTAAGTCCAGAAGAGTGGGTGCCTCTGGAGAGAAGGGAGGAGGACAGGATCCGAGGAGGAAGTACTGCAGACTCCTAATGATATTTGGTAGCATCTTATTATTTTAAACTCTGCAGCAAAAGAGCAACACGCTAATGTGATTTTTTAATTAAGATATAATTAACAAATAACATTATATTAGTTTCAGGTGTACAACATGATTTGATATTTGTATATACTGCAAAAAGATCACCTCAATAAGTCTAATTAACATCTATCACCACACATAATTATATTTTTTGCAATTGTTACAAAAGTTTTTGTGTGATGAGAATTTTTAAGATCTACACTCTGAGCAACTTTCAAATATACCATGCAGTATGACTGACTAGAGTTTAGTTATGATAATGTAATAACTGTAGGGCCCTGGTCGGGTGGCTCAGTTGGTTGGAGCGTCGCCCTACACACCAAAAGTTGGAGGTTCAATTCCTGGTCACAGCACATACCTAGGTTGTGGGTTCAATCCCTGACTGAAGTGAATACGGGAGGCAACCAATCAATGTTTCTCTCTCACATTGATGTTTCTCTCCCTCTTCCTCTCTCTCTAAAATCAACGGAAATATCCTTGGGTGAGGGTTAAAAATAAAAAAAAATAACTATAGGTAATATAATAATTGAAAAAGGGTATTGGGAACAAAGAAGTCAGTTAATTTTGCTTTTCTTTTCCAGTGTGCTTGAAAGACTGCACTACGAATTTTTAAACACTCCAGTCTGGCAGACAAGTTTCAGCACCTACACACTTTCCTTTTTCTTTACTTTTTCCCCACAAAACTCTCTCTGGCTCGCAAACACCCGTTTTCGGTATCATTCATGCTCAGGTAGGTGCCCAGCTGCTGTGAAGACACAGGTACGCACTTGTAAACCACCACACCTTGTCCATGGCTCTTCATAACACGCCGCGCCCACTGCCCCGGCAATGCCAGGCAGAGACCCAGGCCGAGGGTGCAGCAGGAACACGCCCCCACCCCAGCGGCCAGCCTGAAAAAAGGCCTTGAGCCACCAAAACACACAGTGGGGTGTTCATGCCCCTCAGGTGCCAGGAGCTTCTCAGGGAAGGGGCCCTCAAGCCCGCTCTCCTTCGAGGTGCACTGACTCCCTGGTTATGTAAATCCCAGCAAGGTTGGTGGTTGGCCCCCAGGGACCCAGCAAGTCATACGGGCAGAGGCTGGCCTGCCACCCTGCAGACAAACTGCCGGCAAGAAATGAAAGCTGACAACTATGGGAGGAAACAAGAAAAGCTATAAAAAGCAGCCTAAGGTAGTTTCAAAAGAGATTGGAAAGTTCTAAAAGGAGCCAAAGGCAACCCAGTATTATAGCCCTGTCTGAAAACTAAGGTTCCTAAGAATGGCCCACGGCTGTCTCCAATTAAACACTGATCACGCCAATATACAACACATCTCAGAGAATCCCCGTCAACAATGTTCCTCAAAGGCAAGAACGCTCAGTTATTAGGCGGCTCACCCAACCAGAGTGGCAGAGCCTCCCAGAGTCGCCAGA